TGTCCTGTGTGTCATAAGTGTATTTTAGAGTATTTGTTGAGTCTACTTCCTCATCCACATGTTCTGAGGTTAGTGCACTGAGCACCTGCTATTCTCTCTTCTGCCACAACTCTAAGCATACTATCCCCCCACTCAGAAGTGGACTGTTATACTTCCTCTCTGATAGGATGGCCCTTTTGGATTTTGTTGCCTCTTCCACGAGCTTTATATCAGGACCAGCTGTAAATCTGTGTGGTTCCAGTTTGCCTTGGTTTAATTCTCGTCTTGCCTAACCCCTCTCCAACCACCACCCCCCCAGGCTCAGCAGGGGGCTCCAGGAGGAGGAAGTGAATGAAGTCCTGGAGAACTCACTAGATGAACAATACCTGACTAGTTCCAGCCTCTGTGGCTCCCACCAGCCTCCCAGCAGCACTGCCTTCCTGCCTCATGCACAGCAAACCACCTCTGCTCTGGATGTAGCCAGTGAGTAGTCTCCTTATAAAGAAAATAAAGTTACTACAATCTTCCTGTAGCTTTTACATTCTACATGCTCACCACCTCGTGTAGACTGAGAGATATCTTCTCTGAAGGCAGGCCACAAAGATTCACCGAAAAGGTGGTTAGGGTGAACACAGCTCTGCAACCAATTGTCAAGTGCAAATCACTGGTGGGTCAAGCCATTTGTACTGTTCCTGATATAGACCTACCCTCAGTCACTCTGGCCCCTGCTGGCACATGCAAGCTGATGAACTCAAGGCAGGCCAGACTGGAGACAGTGAAGGGATCACGACAAACTCTCTGCCACCACTGTGGCACATGTACAGAATCTAACAGACTTCCTTCTTCAAGATGGGACATCTTATCTTTTCTGAAATGTTTTGGATAATTGCAGTTCCTGAACAGTGTCCCCAAGCTTTTCTAGCTGTCCAACAATGTTGGCAGTCTTGCCCATATTTTTTGGAGGTACAATTATCATGGTTCCTGGGCTTCAAATTCCAGTCTCCATCTCCCACTGGGTGCTTGGCCTCCCATAGGTTCCATCTGAGTTCCAGAACATCAGGTGATTTCCCCAAAGACAAGACTCTGATCTTGCCAACCCTTAGGTAAATAAATAGCCAGGGTTTCTATCCTTTGTGCAGCAACAAAGATTTTCTTTTTAAAAATTTTTGTGGGTTTAATCTCAGCGCTGTAACCCAATCTAAACAATCAGCATATCTGCTGGAGAAAAGGCTGAATCTAACAGCAATGCCATCAGCATGGCCCCTTCCCAAAATAACCTCATGCTAGCTATCCAGTAAAGCTCTTCCACATATGTAAGAGCCCCTTGGGGCAGCAGCCTCAGAGGTGAACAGATTAAAACCTCAACCTTTATCTCCTCTCTCTTACTTGACTCTTTGTCCTTTGAGGACAGCTTGTATTGTTAGGGAACTATTTGCCTTATACACTCTTCTGGGCAAGAGAAAGAGACTATAATAATTCACTTACTGATTTTTTTATAATATAAACCATATCAGGTTTGTCTTTCTACCTCTTTTTGCCAGTGGCAAATATAAATACATGCCTTTTACTACTCAGATCATCCGTTTACAAAGATGAGGTGCAGAGGAACGTCTTTATTACCTGTTGGGAGAGGTATTTAGTAGAGAGGAAGATATTCCTTAGTACCTACATGTCATCCCAAGAAGGTGGCCATACTTTACCCAGTGCTAGACAAGCCCTCCTCAGAGCCTTCAGTGTTTTCCTGCCACTTGTCAACCTCTCTCATACTTCCCATATCCCTGTGTGGGAGGTGGCCCTGTGGATTCTGATTAGCACTTGACCATGCTTTATTGGAAATCCTAAAAGATCTTAAAGGAAGTTGCTTGGTGTTCCTTGATGAGAGGTTGAAGTTGGCAGAAGAATGTTGAAAGGCAAGGATCTTGAGA